GGAGATCGAATTATACAATTAGATTTGGACGAGGTTGCCTCTTCTGCACAAATTCTCATTGATACTTCAGATCGTATTTTCATCGCGATGTATAATCTGCTATGATGTTCGTAATTGTTCTGTGTGCGACAAACAGGTACTAACAATTAATCTAAGCGACCTAACAATCTAATTTTACTTAAGAAGCATTATCTCCCTATGTACGCGATGTTAATCTAATAACATAATTAAATTAATCTAATATTACAAGGACTCCGAAGGGTTTAAGTTTATATATATGCATTCGCAAAAATAAATATACGTATTTATTAGTTTATAAGCGCTTTTTCACGGTATGAACACATTGAATGACAACATTAACAATACCAAATCTATCCTCGCCTACTGCAAAAATATCTTCACTCTCAGAACTCCGTTGATTACCAAAATCACTCTCATCTGTATACTTTACCGACGTATCATTGTTTAATATCCGAACGTAATTTTCGATCCATTGACGGACAACCCTCAAAAACTATCTCGTCTATCGATAAGACGAAATCTTTGAGTAAATTGACTCTAATTTTTACTCTTATTTACCGAATGACTAATGTATCGCGAAGAACAATACAAATGCCACAAACAACATCGGGTTCTTTCTCAGCTCGACGTTGCTCGCCGTCGAGCAGCCGGGCGGACATTCCACCTCGACGGTTCGATTCTCATAGAGCAGGTTTCTCATGATCTTCTTGCCCTCGCACGAGTTCTCCACCTTGACGAACTTGATCTTTCGCGTCTCGAGGAACTGCTCCAGGTCCATGCGGCATCGCCACTTGAGGGGGTTGCCGGCGAACTCGACGATGTGCAAATTCGGCATGTCCTGAAAATCGCTCGTAAAGATGCACTGCAGATCGTTGCCCTCGAGATTCAGGTAGACCAGCCTGCGCAGGTGACGGAATGCGCCGGGTGCGATGTAGCGGATCGAGTTACCGCGCAGATCCAGCCGCTCGAGACGTTCTATGTTGAAGCAGTTCGCTTCGATTGACGTCAGCGGGTTACCCCGGACGGTGAGCCGTTCCAGGGAATCCAGACCCTTGAAAGCGCCGGGCGAAATCGTCCTCAGGCCGCAGTTCCTGATGATCAGCTCCTGCAACTTTCGAAAGTTATAGAGAGCACCGGTCGGAAGAACGGGCAAATGACCCTCGTAGAATTCGATGTAAACAGCGTCGCGTGGCACGTTTTTCAGCATCAGCAGATTACCACCCACGCAACGATACCGCGGTTCCGTGGACTCGGGAATTCGGACGCAGGAACCCTCGAGCGTTTCGTTGTAGAGGCCGATCGAGGGTGGCTCGGTCGTGGTGGTCCACGGGATAGTCACCACCGTGGTGGGCGGTGTCGCCGGAAATCCGGTGACGTAACAGTCGTCATTCACGTCAAACAAGGACTCGCGATGGTACGGTATTCTGCGGGAGTCAAGGAAGCTGGCCAGCTTGGTACCGCAGAGGCAACTCCACGGATTGCCCGACACCTTGAGCGAATAGAGATGCGGCATTTTGCGCGCCATGTGTTCCACGCCGAGGCAGTTCATGTAGTTCTCGGACACGTCGAGGCTGTACAGCTGCGGCACCACGTCGAACACCTCGTTGGGGATCCGGGAGATGTGATTGCGCGAGAGGTCCAGGTGCCGTAGATTCGTCAGGCCCTCCAACGCCTCGGACGTGACCGTTTTCAGGTGATTGCTGTGCAGCGACAGGTGCTCCAAGTTGTACAAGTCGATGAAGGCGCGATACTCGATCGTCTCTATACCGGAGTCGCGTAATTCTAGCCTGGACAACCAGCCGTCGAAGCGGGCGAACGCTCGCGTTGAGATCGTCTTCAGGTTCGAGAGGACGATGCGAATCGCGTGGACCGAGCGAGGTAAAACGTTCAGCTCGTCCATCGAGGTGATGCCGCTGCAGGTGTAAACCTGTCGCGACATTTGGGTTCTGTCTCGCACGCAAGTACCCGTGCGAGGCGGCGGTCTCTCCGTGGGAGTTTCAACGATCGGCTTTATCACGGTGATGTTTCTCTGGCTCAGAGTGTCGTCGAAAGTGGTCCAATACACGTGGCCGGTAACCGAGGTCTAAAAAAATGAGAATAGATGTAGTACAGTATTATTAACTCTTAAAATTAATTTAATATAATATTAATTCAGTTTTAACATTTTTTGTTATTAAGCGGTATCCATAATTAATGTAGAGAATCTAAGCCGATTTTTAGTACTTTTTGAATTAAAAAAAAAACCTAAATTTGAGAAAGTTATAGCTTGCAAAAGTTTCTTTGATGACGGCAACTTCAAAAGGTATGACGTCACAGCACATTTTCGTGTACTATATTTTCTTCAATTTTGAAGATATTGCAGAAATTCAAAAAGTTTACAAAGAAAGTATGCCGCGATCTATCAGACCGCTTAATAAAAAAAAATTATGTTAATACCGAATTGTTAGTTATATAATTAATTAATATTATTAGGGTCAATAGTAATATTAACCCTTTAATGCACAATTTTTTGTAACATTCTGAGTATTTTTCAAACAAATAATGACTGCTTAAGGAATCCTAAAAAAATATTTAAGAAAAATCTTTACTAATTTCAACTTTTCCAAGGGAAGAGGGTTAAAAGGGTCTTCCGGTCTAAAAGGGCCAGAAGGGTCAGAAAAGACCCTTTACAGATGTGTGGAACCGCACGTTTTCAGTTCGAACTTCATAAGGGAGAACATCGAAAAGACTATAGTTAGTAGTTCTAAGAATTAGAAAAGAATAAAAATTAAGTTAAACGAAGATAAAAGTTAGAAAAAGATAAAAAGTAAGTTAAACCGATTAAAGTTAATATTGGTAGAAATTAATGGAAATTAGGTTTTTTTTCTCGAGTGCCGCCACTCACATCCGGGTGCTGCCACACGTCGATCGGTTCGACAACCTCGTTCTCCTCGTAGCAGCGACCGGTAATCTCGAATCCCACGTTGCGGTCGGTCAGGTATCTCTGCAGATTCCCGCGGCAGTCGCAAGACAATGGGTTACCGACGATCTCGAGGCGCTCGAGGTGGCGCAGGTGCGCCAGCTCCTCCAACGGCAGGCAACGCAGCCGATTGTGCCGCACGTCCAGATGGCGCAGGCTGCCGGCGAGCGGGCTCAGCGCGCCGAGCTCGACGCGCTCGATGCCGTTGCGCGCGAGCACCAATTGGCGGAGCGCGACGAGATCGCCGAACCAATGGGCGGCGACCGCGGGCAGCCGGTTGCCGACGAGCGCGAGCCGTTGCAGCTGATGCAGACCGGCGAACGCGCCCGGCTCGATCGTGCCGATCGCGCAATCGTGCAATTCCAAGCTGCGCAGGCTGTTGCCGAAGCGGAAGAACGCGTACGCGGGCAGCCGGTCGATACGCAGCCCCGTGATCTGGATCCACGTCGTCCTGTCCGGCAGGCGGTCCAGCGACGTCAGCGCGCTCGTCTGGAAGCGGTTGCCGGGACGTTCCTGCGCGAAGAGAGAAAGATACGAGCGAGCGAGATTAGATAATCCGGGATCGCGCGATCGCGATTGCAATCGCGATCGCGACAAAGGTGAGCGTACTCGCTCCGGTTACGTCTACCAGTTCGTGCTATTTTATTGCCAAATTCCGTTCTGTGACGCTAAGATCTCAGTCGCTATACATCGGCGACAGCCGGAATATCGGGACTCCGGAGTTTCGCCCTCGCGAATTTTCGGAGCGGATTGGTGTCATTGGTGAACGGCTATCGACAACGACCGTGCGGAGCTCTAATCGCGATCGTCATAACGGCGATAGCGGACGGTAACCTTTGCCTCCTACGTGACTCGGCCGCGTCGATTGCGTAGCGAGCGCGCGATTTTTCATTCAATCCCACGGCCCACGGCGAGAGCCAATCGGGGCAACAGCCCCGGGAGTCACGTGACCCGGCTTGCGCGAGCTCGAGTCCGGCCGGTGTCCGTTCGCGAGTGTTGTGTTTCGTCCCGAGGACGATCATTCTCCGCGTTTCTACACCCGGCGCGGATCGAACAACACGTCGCGTCGGCCAGAGACCGTCGCTCGTCGCTCGAGGATCGCGTGCGGGCCGGTAACCGCCCCCCCCGGGGAACCGGGAAGGCCGGAAGGAAGTCGGGCGACCGCGAACAATCGCGTCGCGCGGATCACGTGACTCACGCGCGTCCGTCCGCCATATGTCGCGCGCGGTTTTCGCCGGAGCAGCGGACCCGAGTGCGCGTCGCCCGAGTGCGGACGTTCCTCCGCTCGCGTCGTTCACATGTTTTCGCGCGTGGTTTTCGGCGCCCGCGAGGCGAGGCCGCGCGCCGCCGGAGCCGGAGCCCGGAAGGAGCCGTCGAAGGGGGACAACGACGCCCGAGGGGATGCCGGACGACAAGCGAGGGTGGTCCGCGGTGCTACCGAGCACGCCGCTCCGTCCACCGATAGGGTGAGTTTGTTTGTTTATTGAATATAATTTCCCTAACCGAAGAACGTTCAGGTATAACAACGGCAATTTTGACTCACAAATAGTGAAGAGCAGCAAAAAAGCGAATTAAAAAAATTAAATTAATTTAAAAAATAACAATTTTTTTAATTAAACAAATTATTTTTAAAAATTGTTTAGTACGTAGCGAGAAGTTGTATAAAATTGTATCATTGGCTGCATTTTTACTGCATCGAGCGGAAATTTCTATTGTGTGTTTTTTTTATAAAGCTTAATTCTGAAACAATTAGTTAATCATGTTCGCTTGATATAAAACAATTTAAATACACATGGCTGGCGAACAAGCAAGGTCTGTGTGCTAAAAATATTATATTATAAATTTAAAACATACAAACGTTTCGGCCTTAAATGTAGCCTTCAATGTGAACAACAATTATAACCTTGGTCGTTTAACGGAAATTAAATAATTAACGGAGATACTGGTCTTACATCGATATAGATTTAAAAAAAATTCACAGAAATTATAATCTATTTACATAACTCGCCGCATACAAAAGATTCGCTTACGTTCCTTTATTCGTGTGTATTCGGCGAGTTATGTAAATGGTTTATTACCCTTGCTTGTTCGCCAGCCCTGTTTATTTATATTGTTTTAATGCTTAAACTATTTTTGGGGGGAAATTGCCAAGTTTGCGATCATAATGATGTTTGGGATTTTTTTAAATGGCAGTTTGCAAATCGATTGAAATGATCGGAAGAGAATTTGAATAATTCTTGCTGTGATTGGTACTTATTCATTATACGGCCACCATTTCTAAAATAAATAAATATATCTACTATGTACATATAACGGTAATTTGTTTATTCGGACTTTACTTCTAAAATAAATAAATATATACAACAGTAAATTTAATTACTTCAAAAAAGTGTAAGTAGGTTAATAATAATCGCTGTACTTTCAAGTAGAAAAAAAATTGAAAGTGGCGCTCGTATAATGAATAAGTATTCTAATTATACATGTATGATGTGTAAAGCCTATGTATAAGATTATATAAAGGATCTAAACTTGCTTGCATAAAAAGATTTAAATTGATTTGATGTGAAAGCCCGATTTTTCGCGTTACGAAAGACTTCAATCACTTCTAATGAAATGCCACCGATTTACACCCATTTATGGCATCTCGCATTGATGTTCGTATCAAATTAAATAATTAATTGCGCGCCTGGCTTTCCTTCGCGTGCGTATAACGCTATAGGAATAAGAACGCCGAGACTAACGACATTACACGGTCGTTAGACGCGCAATTACATCCTTTAATTAGTTATATATCGCGCGCAAACATTGGCATTAAATTTCGACTTTCGCCCGTGATAGGCGCGCGATAAGGCCGGGCTGCTTTTTAGGCGATAGAAATCACAGAGCGGTGAGACACATTGTGCGATGTTATCGGATACGTAATTATAATCGAGGCGTTTCTGCTTCATCCCGCGATCTCGCGGTGCGACTCCCCGAAACGCGATACTTGGAAAAACAACGCAGCTCGACTCGAGCCGTATTGCCTTACTTGCCGGTATATCGGTGCTCGATATGCGGCTGCAGCAGCTCATTCCGGATCGCGCGAGACGGACGATATACAGGTAACCCTCGAATAACACGGTACTTGAATTGCACGGAGGCTCGAGTAGCACGGTAAAAAATTGTGATGACTCCACTTTTTGAAAGTTTTTTTTCTTTTTTTTTAATAATCCCTTGGAATTAAGTGCCCAATTTTAAATTGCATTATTTTCAATGCGAAACTAATTAATCGTATTACTTGAGGGTTACCTATATATTCAGGAAGCTCGCGATATTTTTCTGACAATTTGTCTTCACATAGATCTGAAATTTCTGATTCAATTCGAATTGACCTGAAACGTTAATCTTTTCATTGCTGTTGGCGCCTGTGG